ACTAGGAGCTGGGCTGGGAAGTCAGAACATAGTCATCAAGAAAGGAAACATTGCCATTATAATCATTGCAATGAAACAAAATACAATAGGATTGAGTATAGAGCTGATGTTCTCCCATGTAAACCTCACAATAAAAATAAAAAAGGAAACATTCTTATGATGGTTACCACCCTCAACCCATTGAAGTGTTGTTGATAAGTGCCACTGAATCGGTTCCGACTCACAGTGATCCTATACAGGGTTTTCAAGGAGCAGGTGGTGGGCTTGAACTGCTGTCCTTGTGGTTTGCAGTCCAGTGCTGATCCATCAGCTCCACGCTAGGAATCCCATTGAAGTAATTACGTTTATATAACTTATCCACCTGTTTGCATGTTTGCATACCTCACCAGACAAGGTTCCTTGTCTGTCTCTGTAATCTAGAGATTTATCACAGATTTAGCAGATGATGGAGTACAAACCATTTCTTAAAGGAATAATAAATGGTCATTTGCATGCAAGCAGCTACTTCTATTATTAAAATACCTCAAATGCGTATTAGGCTTTGATGGCTGCATTCAGAATTAATTCAACTAGAGTGTTGTTTTAGGTACATCTCGAATGAAATAAAATAACCTGAAAGGTTGAAAATTTTTAAAAGATCATCCAGTTCTTGTTGATCGTGGCTTTCTGTTCAGCTGTTTAAAATCCATTTTTTTTTTCCTCAAAGAAGTTAAAAGGTGTTTCAGTTTATTAATTTAAAACTCTCTAAAAGCTTTAGCTGTATCTCAACATGAATCTGTGGCATTTCTTAAATCCATATTCGAAAACAGAAGAAAAAAAACTATGCTAACTGCTAAAAAAGAGTCACGTGATGAATCTCATATTGAGGAGACGTCAGACAAACGCAAATCGAGGGGCAGCCTATAAAGGAGTTAGCTGTAAACCGGCCAGATTAGAAAATGTCAATGTTAAAAATGCCAGTTTCCTAGCAGAAGATGAAGACCCAGAAGGCATGCCAGGTTAGAGACTCAGTAAGAGGGCAGGAAATTTCAGTCAGTCTTGGGCTGCTTCCTGGACCATGAAAAAAAAAAAATTATAAAGGACATTAAAAGTACAACTGGCAAAATTCCAATTAGGAATGTACCCAGGTTACTAGAGTCCTGGTGTGGTGCTGTACAATAAGCACACGACTGCTAGGTCTACTTGGATGGCAAGGTGGCAGTTCAAACTCACCAGCTGCTCCTCGGAAGCGCTATACAGGATACTGAGTCAGCAGCACTTAACAACAACATCCAAGTTACTAAGAGCTCTGATGTGGTGTTATAGGATAAGCACTGAATTGCTAACTGAGAGGTCAGCGATTCAAACCCACCATTGGTTCCTTGGAAACTCCATACAGGGTCACTATGTTGTTATGTACCGTCAAGTCGGTTCCGACCCATAGCGACCCTGTACAGGGTGTCTGGGCTATAAATCTTTATGGGAGCAACAAACCTCATCTTTCTCCCACAGAGTGGCTGGTAGTTTCGAACTGCTGACCGACCTTAAGGTTCGCAGCCCAATTTGTAACCAGAGCTCAGAACCAAATCAACAGCACTTAACAACAACGCCCAAGTTACTTTTCTGATTTTGATCATTCTACTGTGTTACATGAACCAACTCAACAGCACTTAACAACAACGCCCAAGTTACTTTTCTTGATTTTGATCATTCTACTGTGTTATATGAACCGACTCAACAGCACTTAACAACAACAATAACAACTGCATTACGTAAGAGCTGGTGGCATAGTGGGCTACTAACCCTGAGGGCAATAGGTTATAGCCGTCAGTAGCTCCACTTTCTGCTTTCTGTTCCCATAAAGATTTACAGCCTCTGAGATCCTAAATAATGAGTCCGAACCTACTGTAGGACAATCAATTTGGTTTGGGGTTACATAAGAGTAATGTCTACTCTTAGAAATTACACTTCAGTATTTAGGGGCACAAGGGAGTGATGCCTGCCTGTGATTCTAATTGTTTGTTGTTGTTGTGAAGTGCTGTCGAGTCAGTTCCAACCCATAGCAACCCTGTACAGGGTTTCCAAGGAGTGACTGGTAAGCTTGAACCACAGACCTTACAGTTCAAATGACTTTGCAGTCTGGCGCATTAACCCTCAACACCACACCAGAACTCCTCTAATGGCTTAGGATATTTGTATATGTATGTACGTGTTTATTTTTAAGTATCTAATGGTTTAAAATACTTAAAAATATACACATACATACATATATACATATACAGAGAGAAAATGTGAATGGTGACTCTGGATGAAGGCTAGGGATACAGACAGGAACGCTCAGTATGGTTTTTGCAACATTCTTATTCATTGAAGTGATTTCCAATCAAATCGGTGTTTTAAGTTCTATCAGTACAAGTGCTATTGTTATTAACCGAGAAATACTTAAAAATGCAAGTAATACCATGGCAATTAATCTAGTGACCAAGGACTTGTTATTTTTTCTTCTAAGTAACTATCTTTGAATTCCAAAACTAAGGAGAAAATATATTTAAAGAATTCATATGATAAAAGGAAGACAGCTCTGCATTGGGACAAACACTCACATGTGTACGCACATGTGTATGCACACATGAGAGGGCTTCAAAAAGTCTGTGGAGAAATGAAATAAAAAAATAACAGCATTTTCCATGAACTTTTTTGAAGTCCCTTCGTATATACAATAAACATTTGATTCACTGTGCTTTTGCACTTACTAAACTAAGATGTTGGTGAAAATTTTCATGCAACAAAATATAATTACTATTATGTAATCATGTTCCCCTTTCTCTCCACCTCTGAAATCCGCTGGTTCAAGCTGGTCCCTCAGCCCTTCCCCCAAAAGGGTATCAAAAGACTAAACTCACTTCGAAGCCTTTCCAAGCTGACAGTTCAGTAGAGCTTTGTTGGGCTTTCAAAACAAATTGCAGGGCTAGCGCCTGGGCTAATATTCAGAACCCTGTTCTGTTTCCCTCTACAGTTGCATTGTTATGGCAATGAGGGCCACGGGCCACAAAAGAAACTCCACAAAAGCAGACAAGTTTTTAATGCTTGAGCCATCTGCCAATTCTCCTTAGGATCTTTTCAAGGACTGAGTGAAGTTAAAGCAGAGCAGGGAAGGGGGTCTTCCAGGGAGAGCAGAAAAATCATTCATGGGCAAAGCAATTGCAGTATGAAAAGAACCAAAGAGGGCTCAGAGCAGGGAAGATGAATGAATGGGATCCAAAGCCAGCGCTTGTCTTTAGCGCTAAATAGACACACCCCACCCTCTCCAACAGGGCCTTTGTTGGTTGCCAAGCATCTTAAATGTTATAGTAAGAATATGTTATTAAGGGGGGATTTAATATACACAAACCACACACACCACCCTTCAGAGAAGTCCTCTGATGACCCACATCAAGCCTTTGCAAAGATTCCGTGGATTTAAAAATTTTTTTTTCTTCCTTCAGGGTGAGCAAAAAGTCCTCAATAAATGCCATGGAGTCGGTTCTGACTCATAGCGACTGTTTAGGGTTTCCAAGCAGCAGCTGGTGGGTTTGAACTGCCGACCTTGTGGCTCCCAGTCCAGGGCTGACACTGCAGTGCCTCACCAGGGGTTGGGCATTAATAAAGCAAGTCCATAGACTTGTGAACTTTTAAAACCAACAACTCAGCATATCAACTCAAATGCATGAAAACAAAACGAAGTCGGTGCTCAAGGAATTATATTAAAATTTCAATGTTTTCTGAAGCCCCAGATATATTCTTTCTCCATCAGATACTTTCCCTAGGAGGAAAAATCTACCCAAAAGCCTGAAACTGGAATGGCCTGCTTATCTGGCAGGCACTACGAATAGGCAATTCTTACCTGGCTCAGGTGCTACTAAGTCATCCTATCTCAAAATGCTCAAGTTTCTGAAGACAGAGTATAACTTTTATTCCTCAGGGCCCCGCCTACAAATAAACACCCCTGAAATAAAGTCTCACTGAGATTAACAGTTTTAGGAGACAGCCTGTTTTCCTCTTTTCCTAGTCAGATTAGCAAACTTGAGGTAAATTCTTCTCATGCCTGAATGTAGGATTGTTGTTGTTAAATGCTGTCAAGTCAGTTCTGACTCATAGTGACCCTGTATAGGGTTTCTGAGGAGTGTACGGTGAGCCTGAGCTACTGACCTTGCGGTTCAAACCAACCTTGCGGTCCAGCGCACTAACCCCCAATGCCGCACCAGGATTTCATGTAGACTGGTGGTTGGTGGTTCTGTGCCGTGGAGTCGGTTCCGACTCATAGTGACCCTGCACAGGGTTTCTGAGGCTGTAAATCTTTACAGGAGCAGAAAGCCTCATCTTTCTCCTGTGGAACAGCTGGTAGTTTCAAACTGCTGACCTTGAGGTTCTCAACCCGTTTAGTAACCACTACGCTACCAGATGGCTGGAAATAGAAGCCAGCACTGACAGCCATTTTGCTGCTGCTTATCTAACATTTAAAACATTATTTTAAATGATTACATTACCTCGCTGTTTCTCTTTGCTGTTTCTTGGATTTATAGAACACTTTTAAAGAACTCTTGAGAGGTGCAGTATTTCTGCAAATTGATTGCCCTTTTCAAATACAATGTTGCGACTATTTGGTTTAAAAGTACTGGCTGCTAAGACTATTTTCTTAAACTGTTTTCTCTCCCCGGACACACATCAGTGTAAAAGGGGCGAGTGTGCAGCCCCTCCCAGAAGCAGGAGGGGGTCTTCCAGCTCAGGGAGGGAAAGGGAATAGACTGCACTGCACCTCGTAATCCCATAATCCCAGATTTAAAATCTGGCAACTGGAAGGGGATGGTGGACACCCAGGCACGTTGCCTGAGTCCACCCAGCTCAGGCAGAGCAAGGTCTCCCTGGTGCAGGAGCCAGTGACTGTCCCACCAAGAGGCACCCACACCCTGAGGCAGGCCGGGAATTCTGCCGCACCCTGAGGTGCAGCCCCAGGACCCCACCCTCCGCAGCAGGGGGCTGACCTCGGGCTGTGAGCCTGCTGTAGACCTGGGAGTTGACCTCCTTGTCCCTCACGGAGCACCGGATCTCCTCCACAGCCTCTCGGATGACAGTGACGGCCAGGACGAAGCCCTGTAGAGACAGGCAAGAGGGATGAGCGCTGTGGAGCCCACCGACGGGCAAAAAAGGGTGCTGCCACCCTGTAGTAACAGGGTACCCTAGTACTTATCAGTAGGATACTATAATCATAATAGTAGTCCTGGCGTGGCAATGTGGGTTAATGCACTGGACTGAAAGTCAGTTTGAACTGCAAGGTTGGTAGTTCAAGCTCACCAGCCACTCCTTGGAAACCCTAGACAGAGCTGCTATGAGTTAGAACTGACTTGATGACAGTTAACAACAATAATATCATTATTAATTATGGCAATAACATTAACATTTCTATATAATAATATAATAACATGGACTCCCTGGGTGGTGCAAACAGTTAAGCTCTCGGCTACTAACCAAAAGGTGGGTGATACAAATCCACTCAGAGTTTCCTCAGAGGAAAGGCCTGGTGATCTACTTTGGAAGACTCAGCATTGAGAACCCTGATGGAGCACAGTGCTACTCTGACATGCCTACCGTGCGTGGGAATCCAATGTAATGGAATCCAACGTAATTGGTTTTCTGGTTGTTGTTAACTGCCGTCAAGTCTGTTCTGGCTCACAGCGATCCTGTATAGTATTTCTGAGGAGTGACTAGTGCCTTGTGGCTAGCTGCCCAGTGCTTATCCTACAGGGCCACACCAGGACTCCAGTGATATTAATTATTTCAAAGGAACATAACCCAGAAAGCCTTCTTCTCAAAATCTATGCTGGAAAATGAGCACATACATGTTGTTGTTAAGTGCCGTCGAGTTAGTTCTGACTCACAGCAACCCTATATAGGGTTTTTGAGGAGCGGCTGGTAGGCATGAACCACCAACCTTGAAGTCAACAATTCAGTGCTTATCCGACAGCACCACACCAGGACTACATGCACATACATGCTGTTGTTGTTAAGTGTCATCGAGCCAGTACTGACTCACAACAACTCTATAGGGTTTCGGAGAAGCAGCCAGTGGGTTTGAACTGCCGACCTTGCAGTATGCAGTCCAGTGATGGTACCACAGCGCCACACACACATACTCCAGAGTGAAACTATCACATACAAAAGCACTCAGGTTCCCCACTGCAGGGATTCAAAGAGCTACAAGCACGAGACAAGCTCACCATTACCCCAGAGGGGAAAGACTGACTGGCGGGAGCAGTGACCACTCACAACATGGCCAGCACTGTTCAAGCCCGGACAGTCATTAGCAACAGCCCTGGGAGCCATGCTGCTATCACTGGGACCCCGTGTTACAAATGAGGGAACAGAAGCAGTTAAATAGTCTTGCACAAGAACATAACGCTGGTGACAAGTAGGAATTTGACACTAGGAAATCTGACCTCAAGAGTCTTTGTTCCTAATGCATCATTCTGGGTCTAGAGAAGTTTGGATGCAGCCAAAAAGATGGCTCTTCAAGGGGTTGTTTAAAAGCACAAGAGAGATGGAAGTTAGCCACGTAGAGTGTGTCGTTGTGAAGGGCTGTCCGGACAAGTCAGTGTTCTGACTCTTAATAACCATGTATAAGATTTCCAAGGAGCAGCTAGTGGGTTTTTTGTTTTTGTTTTTATGTGCTTTTAAAACTGCATTTGTACTTTTACATATTAACATAATATACATTAAAATACATTACATATTAATGTACTTTCGTATATTAATGTATGTAAATGTATAGAAACTAGCCTGGAAGAATGCATACCAAACTATTAACAGTAACAATGTTTCAGGAAGGAAATGGGAAATTGGAGAGGGTAGGGGTTTGGGTCAGCAGGGGGAATAAGACATTCACTTTTTAGTCTGCAGCTAGTGGTTTTGAAACAACCTTTCAGTTAGTAGTCTAATGCTTATTTCACAACACCAGAATAGAGTGTAACACCGTTACACTTTAAACAAGAAAGATTTTTTTTATACTGCTGAAAATTTTCTAATGGGTATTCAGTACATATTGTTGTTGTTGTGAAGTGCTCTCAAGTCAGTTCTCATAGTGACCCTGTATAGGGTTTCCAAGGAGCGGCTGGTGGGTTTGAACTGCGGACCTAATGGCTTGCGGTCTAGTGCTGATCCTACAGCGCCACACCAGGAGCTAGCCCCCGACTCATGGGGACCCCATGCACAACCAAACACACACTGCTCCGTCTTGTGCCATCCCAATGACTGCTTGCTAAAAACCTTTGGGATCCATTCTGGGATCTGTAGGATTGTCATTGGCTGAATTTCACAAAAGTGCATCACCAGGTCTTTCTTCCTGGTCCTTCCTAGTCTGCAAACTCCACTGACACCTGTTTAGCCTCACAGCAAGAGCTGAACATCTGCAACCCCTTCAGTGGCTGCACATGAGGTACACAGGTGGGAATCGAACCAGGGCCTCAACCATGGAAGGTGAGAACTGTCCATGAAATCATCACTGCTTTGCACCTGGTACACAGACATGCCTAGATACAGAGAAAAGTGTCTGGAAAGAGACACAACACCCCAAAATCTGAATGACTGTTTAGGGTTCTCTGCAAGGGCAGGGACCAGGGTCAGGCTGGGAACAGACTGAAGGGAACCTCAGTCTCATCTCTAATGTTTTAAAATTTTTTATCAGAAAACACATGAATGTATTCGTTGCTTAAATATCATTTATTTAAAAGAAAAATGTAAAAAGTATCCCTAGTCACCCTAAGTCAAGTATACCCCAACTCATAAAATCTGAGACAGGGGAGATCAACCCACAGCAAGAGTCTATTTCTAATTAGACTGTCCCTCTCTTATCATTAGGGGGAAAACATTCATTCCTTTTTGTTGTTGTTAGAAAACAGTCTTGTCCTCCCTCTCCTCCCTTTTCTTCCCTTTTCAAGCTTGCCAAAAAAATTACAGCTAGCATACGGACTCCAACTCCACAGGTTAAAAGAATGACTTCCTTGTGGATTTCACCTTTATACGATTTACCCTGTGAAATATACTCACGTCAATTCAAAGGGCTTTAAAATCTCTTATATAAGTCAAACTAGAGACGAGCTATATTGTGAAATTCCTCCAAAGGCCCAGAGAGCGTTCCAATCAAAGGGCCAAGCCTGTTTCCAATCAGAAGTTAAGTACACACTGAGGCTGTGACGTATTGAATCTTGTCTGCCCCTAAAGATGTGCTGGGAACCCTAACCTCTTTGCCTGTGGTTATAACACCGTTTGTTATGTGAAGGAGATGGGATTCACATCTTGTATCACAGTCTCTTTAGATGTAAGAGATTAAACAAGTCATTCAGGGACACACAGAGATGGGAAAGAAAGAAGACTGCTCAGGAGAATCTCAGAAGAGACAAGGACCTTTTCCCGGACAGAGAATAGCGATACAGCCAGCGCCTAGAGAGGGTGCCATGGATTCAGACAGGGATCACCTGACCTCTACCCCGTCTATCTTAATCCAGACGCTCCATTGAAACAGGTCCACCATGGGTGACCCTGTAAGTATTTTAAATACCGGACTAGTGGTGTGGGAGCTGTAGGACAAGCAGCAGACTGCTAACTATGAGGTTGGCAGTTCAAACCCTTGGAAACCCTATACAGGGTCCTTTTGAGTCAGAACTGACTGAAGGGCACTTCATAACAATAACAACAGCAAACTGATAGCTGAAGTCATCCGCTTGTGTTGTATTTCTGTTATAACAGCCTTAAGTAACTAACACAGCACCTATAGGAAAATTGATACAGTTCAAAATGAAAACATAACCATACGGCAAGGGGGGGAAGGGGGAAGCCAAAGAAAAGCCCCTTCAAAAAGGAGATAGACTCAATTTGCAGAGGCACACCCCCCCCCTTCAAGTTTCTGTCTTGTTCTGAGCCAGCACCTGGGTTTTTGTGGTGGTTTGTTTTTGGAAATGTTCCCGTTTCTCTCTCCCTCAGCGTGGGTCAGTCTAAATCCCATTGATGTTCATGGAGAATGTGTGCTCACACTGCTAACCTCTCAGCTGCAAGTGGATCCTGTTGCCTATCTTGGTTTCTGCATGCTGCCCCTCCTCCTAAACTCCCAGTTCTCATTAATTCTGGAGAACATGCTCGCCCTTCGGCTAAAATTGCTTTACAAAGAAATGCAAATGTTGCCCAGAAATAAATTCCAACTGTCCAACTTCCGAGGTCCTTAACATCCACAGATATTAAAAAGAGGCTTTAATATGGGGCCCAAGGTTGGCTGAGCTCTTAAAGATATCAGCAGGGAGAGTGCGCACCAGTGATTCTGAAGGGGTCAGGGGTTTTTTCAGTTGTCCTTCAATCGACTCATCTGACCCTTCTGTCCAACTGTGGGGGTTTATGTGTTGCTATGATGCTGTAAGTTAATGCGCTGGACCGCAAGGTCTCTTGGAACTGCAAGGTCGGATTGTTCAAGCTTACCAGGTGCTCCTCGGAAACCCTATACAGCGTGGATACGAGGCAGAACTGACTCATATTTAACAACAACAGCGATGCTGGAGGCGTCCTGGTGTGGTATTATGGGATAGGCACTCGACCATAACTCTCCAGCTGCTCGCTCCTCAGAAGCACTACACAGGGTCGCTATGAGTTAGAACTAACTCAATAGCACTTAACAATATGCTGGAAGCTAACCTTGTCGTTAAGTGCCATCCAGTCGTTCTGTCTCTTAGAGACACTTTATACAATTTCCAAGAAGTATCTGGTAGGTTTGAACTGCCGACCTTGTAGTTAGCAGTCCAGTGCTTATCCTACTGCAGTATACCAGGACTCTGGTTTTTAAAGTTCTTGCAGAGTCGCCCATGGTGGACATGCTTCAATGGAGCTTCTGGATGAAGACAGATGAGGTAGAAAGACCTGGAGATCCATTTCTGAAAAGGAGCCATCAGAAGCCACATGAATCATAACAGAATATTGTCCAATACAGAGCTGGACGATAAGCCCCCTAGTCTGGAAGGTGTGAAGCAATGGGCTCAAACACACCAGCAATCAAGCTGGTGGGAGGAGACTAAGCACAGTTTCACTCGACCGTATGTCAGGAGCCAAGTCCATGG